ATTAGTTTCGTCAATACGCATTAAGATCTCCAAGATCATTGGTTTTGGCGACAGATCTTGGCTTTTAAATAGCCAGGCACACAATCCATCACGCCTTAAACCATGTCCTCCGTTGCGACATGAACTTCTAAATCGTCAGATATTTCAAAGAATTTAGCAGAATTTATTTATCTTCACTAGAACACTTTGGAAATTCGAGTGTAAAGTTCGCGTTCAGAATTAAGGATTTTTGCTCTGATCTGCAAATTTTAAGTTCTTCAACATGATGTCTGCATAATTTTCCCACCATCTCATCAAATCCTGTATAAGACTTCCATGTCGATCGTTGGAATAAAGTTCAGTTATCAAGAAAAGAAAAACAAATCTTATCATACCTTCCCAATTAGTATTCCAAATCTTCGAAAGTTAAGCAGCATGTTTATTACTATCTACAAAATTATTTAATGAGTGTTTAAAACACGCAGCATTTCAGTGATCTGAAATTCTAGTCTGAAATTCTGGTCGTCAGTTCTATTTCTACAAGAATGTGCCTTGAGCTGCCTATGCGAAAAGGTTTTTACTTCTGAGTTTTATGTTTCATTCGTCATATCAAAACTCAGTATTAGATTTATATTCGAGTTAACTTAATGCTGCTGATTATCTGCGAAAGAAAATTATTGGGTTTTAAGCTGAAGACCTAAGTGCAGGAACCATTTATGTCACTTTTTTATGAAAATTGCATTAATAATGCTATCTAGCGGAGAACAGGAATAAATTTTACATATGAATCGCCTCAGGGAGAACATTATTAATGTCCGTAACTGTAACCGAGGAGAGATTTTGCATACTGGTGTTTTAGCAAGCACCAAGACGGAAGAAATATTTATGTCCAACTTCCTTGGATCTAGCTTATTCGTTTATTAATTCTTCAGTAGTGCTTGTGAACATGGAAAATAAAGATTCTAGTGGACGTCTTGACTCAGTGTCCGAGTTATCTGCCGAAAAGAGGGGAAAAACAGGAAGATTTCGCGATGTTATAAATGTTTTAAGAGCAATCACACGTCACAGGGACCTGTTTGTAAATGCAGACTTTTCCAATGTTTTTCTTCAGTTTGTAATGGTGGAAAGCAGAGAATTCTCAAAGCTTTTAATGAATTTGAGACTTATACTAATACCCAAAACCATTATCTTAGTTTTTTCTGTGATGCACTTCTTGTTCGGTAAACGAAGGAGTTCCGCACGCATATTTCACAAGTGCACATCAGCGCAGCCACTGAGGGAGGGGGTTTCGAAAATGGACCAATGAACTGCTATTGCTCTTGTGACGCTAAATCTTCGTGCATGTGAGCGTATGTTGTTTACGTTTTAATTTGCATTTGTTTCGCAGTTATAAATATATGGCGTAATAGTAGAAAATCTCCTAGTGCTTTCGTTTTCTGAGTTTGATTAATCGCTGACATTTCACTTTCGCAATTTTTATCACTCATTAATATTAAGATTGATGTTCACGGTATATTATCTGGATTAAGAGAATTCAAGTGTATAATTTTTTTAATTGAGCTGAGAATGACTGAATGTGTTACAATGAATCTAGTGTTTTCTTATTTCAGTGCTTGCATTCTTTTAATTTTTAAAGTGTAAGATTCAGAACACATATGATATGATTATATCCATTGTTAACATTAAAAACTATACATGAATAAATTGAATATACTCATTGTGAGTACGATAAATTCACTCTGTTTGATGAGTGTCTTGTCTAGACAGTACATTTCAGAACGAGCATTTATTAAATGTGAAATTTAACGCACTAAATGTATACGAATGCAAAGTAGTAAAGTTCACTTTGAATAAAATTCTGAATTGGTTATTATTATAGAACATATTTTTCATATAGACTGCAATAAAAAGTGCTGACTGCTATTTACATATATAACTGGTGTAAATATTTTTTTATATGCATAGTTTTATGTAAAGATTGCATTTGGGCTCAGATGTTTATCACATATTTCTTCTTCATCTTATTTAAGTAATATTTCACCTCGATATTTTCGCAAAGCATCCAACATGTGTTTGTATTTATTTCAACCAGGTAATGAAATCTTCCTATATTTGATCTAACTTCGCAATGAAACGTTTCAGAAGCAATCGACGATGCTTTAATTATTTTGTACAGAAAATTGCGTGGCAGAATATTTTCAACCATCTTGCTTAAATCTTAAAGCACGCGAAAGGTCATGTGACATGACAGAAATATTACTGGATGCTCATTGGTCCATCCTAGAAGCCACTCCCTCGGTGGCTACACAGATGTTCACTTGTGAAATATGCGTCCCGCACGGTGCATTCTTTCTTATTCAGCATGTTATTTTCAAGACGGGAAATGTGGGATGCTGAATGATGAACATGTTGGAGGGTGGTTTTGTAGCTCCGTTTCGTTACTTCGTGTTTTAATAGTGTTGGGTTTATGTGTGTTAAACAATGATTGGGCTCCCATATGTAAGTTGTGATTTCACCATTTCTGTTGTGTGTGGACAGACAATGGATTTCGAGTTGCTGTATGTGAAGGGACTGTGGTTTTTGTTAGCTTCGCCTTGTTACCTCGTGTTTTAACATTGCTGGATTCTCATGTGTTGTACAGTGATTTTCCTCTGGTAGTGAGATTGTGATTTCATCATTTCTATTGCGTTTGAATTAAGGAAAATGGAGTGTAATGGATTACCCCTTTATCTCTTACGGATATTATGACTACTGCAGCTCATTCCCAGGCGACAGGACTCTCGGATGATGTTTGGGGTGGATATCGTACAGACGAAAACTGGCAAGAACTTATTAATAAGGAAGTGCACGCTGTAATGATTATGTGTGTGCCAAACATCAAATTGTAAGACTCCGTACGGACATAAAAGCAAAGCATCACTTATGTGTTGATACTTCAAAGTTTATAAAATCGGAAAAGAAAATACTGGCTTACCTGATATACTTCAAAAGAACGCAAATTTCCTCAAGGATTTATGGAGATTTATAAAGTTAAGTGATATTCTTTTGGTGCTTCAAATCTTGAATTTGCTAACTGTTCCATAATTGATCTTATAATACTAAAACTTGTTAATGATGTTAAAAGTGCTAATTCTAATGCTGTATATAATCTTGGTTTAAATATGGTGTCAAGAATGACTGTGTCTTAGATAATGAACGATAAAGGTACAGGTAAACCTAAAAAACCATTTAAGAAAATTAGTAAGCGGGCTATTTACTGACTCCAATGATGCGGGTGGCTCCATTTAACCTAAAAGCACGACTAGAGCATCAAAACTAATTAAAAAGTGTTGATTTACTTACTAGAAACAAATATGATGCTCTTGCAATTGATAATATTAATGGTCACAATATTTCTACTGATGTTTTTTAAATGGCGACTGAGAATTAGGGGACCCAATTTTCAGTTCGGGTGCCACTTTACTATTTTTTCATGTCCTTGCATAATACTTTAAAAATTCAGTCAGTTCACTTAATTTTGGAATGTTCTCTTTTTTTAACAGTCTTTACCACCAGAATTTAATTGATGAATCTAATTTTTACTAATAATATATCACCAATGTTCTCTATTTTCTCTTGTATTCCCTCCAAACCACGAATTTTATTCACCGTAGCCACTAAGCTTAGAATTGTGGAAGCTGATTGATTTCGAATTGAAGGTAATGAAAATAACCTTCTAATCTGTTCAAATATTAATCACGTTTATTTGAGTAACGATCCTTCAGTAATTACCACGCTATGATATAATTGTTATCCATTACTGCCTGTACAATACGATATGCGTCACGTTTTAATAAAGATTTTAAATACTGTGTAGAGTTATTAGGTTTTCTTTGAAGTAGGAATCATAAATGAGCAATACCTTCGCCGGACGCGATCTCTCGAATACACGCTAAGTGTGCCCCCGAAGGCATGTTGAAAGGAGGGAGAAAACACCTTATAAGTGTAATTTTCAGAATTTGATAGCTTAGGATTACTATGCATTAAAAAGGTCATTAAAAGTTATCCACTCCTGCAAATTTTTACTAAATGTCGGCGAGTTTAATTTTGGAAGCTTAACACTTTCTGAAGATCTTTGGGAGCTTAACCTCTATCTCCGACTTAAAACACAATTAAGTACCTCACATTTTCTATTTAATTTTAATGTTATATCATCATACAGACTTTTTATATGCTAAACTGTTCCTCAACGTAAAATACCTGTGGAATTGCTTGGATACCTGAAGCACCTGAAAGTGTATCCTTTTCAATGTGTTTTTTCTTATTATTTAAAAGCTACTATAGGGATTAGAGGTGTATTGAGTACAATATGTTGCTTATTAATATATTCTGCTCAGTTTTACTACTGGTTTTACCATACGCATTTAACAGTACTGGTGTTAATCATATACACTAGTTCTATACCTAGTTTTAACCCTACACATTAAAAAAGAATGTTGTGAAAGGCATTTGTTATTGAATAAAAATAAATATTTATGTGATATGCTTCTAGCATAAGTTGAAAGAATTATTGTATTTGTGTTTTCCCCAGCTCCAAAATTTCTAAATCGCTGTACTAGTGAAACCCGAATTAAAATTTGGTGAATGATAATTCATCTGCAGTAGGATTTAGAGACTGGATCCTTTATTCGCCGGTTGCCTTTAAGTGGTAGAGAAAACAAGGTATTTTCTCCTTGCTTATCGCGTATCTTCGAGTTTTAATTGGAAAGCACGGTTGGCTACCATTCGAATCCCTATAAATTTATTTGTTGATTTTTCGTGTTTCTTTCTTCAGTAAATTTAATTACGTTACCATGCTGTCATTAAAATTTAGAAAAGAACATCGTTTATTGAACAGTATCTTAGAAAATGAATTCCTTCAAGAATTTTTTAATTTTATTTGAAAATTTTACACAAAATTTCTTAATAAACATGTCTTAATTAAGAAAGTTTTTAACAAGTTTCAGCAAAGAAATTTTAGGTTTTTAAAAATACGCACTTACTTCGGTGAAAAAACAATTCCATATGGATATGCCTTCTCTAGGATAAGTTGCGAAAACCCAAGCGGTTCTGTTTTCACCGACAACTGTTTTCATTGGATCGAAAACGTAGAAACCATCTGAAGAAAGTGAATAAATTTAGTTAATAACAAAATTCAGTTTTAAGTCAGAAAAAGTATACGAAGCAAAACAGAGAAATAAATTTTACTTTCAGTTTGTTGTCTAAATAATTAAACTGAGTTTATTTTCCACTGGCAATTTTAACCAGTGTAACCTTGTGTATTTGTAAACCTTGCTAATTTAAAAAATAATATATTATTTCGAAATTGTTTCCTTACTGGCATTACAATTCGTATTCAGAAATAAATAATAACAGAAAAAAATGTTTAAACTTAATCAATAAGCTTCTGAAAGCATAAGGGTTTGATTATTCATTTAGTGCTGCTGTCGTAGATTTAACTCTGGTGAATTCTGCTGCTCATTATTCAACGTTTGAGATATATTGCCTCAATTTACAGTCATGAATAAAATTTAGATACCTTCAAGTAAACGTTTCTCCCGCATATATACTTCCAGAACTCCTTAGAGAAATTTCTTTTGAGGCAAAGCTATAAGACATACAAACATTCTATCGACGTTTTTCTTGATAGGATATTTCCAACTCCTTTATCATTCAACACGATAGAAATTTCTATTGAAAGTTTTTTAAAGTAACTTTGAACGACTGGGGCATTTCATAGCATTCGATGCATTGCTTTAATCTCTTTTAAATGCATTCAGATTAAAAGTTATTAAGATATTTTAAAATTCATCCCAATTAAAGAACGTGCTTTATTTCATTGTTAAGAGAAATGTACAATTAACGCATCACAGTTTTAAAACTTAGATTCAAAGGTTTCTAAGGCTGTGACCGCTTGATTATACATAGTGTTTTTTAATGACTGTCTAAACACAGGGTTAGGCAAAAAGAAACAGATATATTCAAAGTTTTACAGAAGAAAGAGTTTAACAGTACGGGCGAAAGTTTTACTTATTAGAAGAATAGGTATTGAAGTTTACATAGCTGAGTTATAAATAATCTTTGTCTGCCCATTTTGTAGCACCATAGATATCAGTGTTTTGCCTAATACATCTCGGCATGTCCATATCAAATAGCACCAAATACTGTGATGTGTAGTTTCATCCAAATGTCATGTGTAGTCAAATTCAAGACAGCAAACTCTACCTTTAATGTATCCATACAAGTAGCACCCTGTGTTAAATCCTGACTTCTCTGAGGCCAACTGTTTCAAAATATTCTAAGATCTATAAATCGACATCAATCACTTTTAAAATGTAACTTTTAATATGTACACTATTTACAGTTCATAGATCAAACATGGTGGTTCAGTTGACAAATAAATCTATATGCTTTCATAATCGAAAATCGAAATCAAATAGGAACCGAAGTGTTCCTAATCAAATAGTGTGCGAACCATCAGACATCCATCTATCGAGCTGCCGGTGGAGAGTCTATGGAAATTCAGAAGGCACGTCGCGTCGCGTTAACACGCAACGCTAGCGCCATCTATCAATTAATCAAAATAATTTCCACACCAACGAACAATGTGCCGTTCTATTGATAGGCCAGTCTTTCACTAAGGCGGATTTTCATCCATATGGCTCTCCAAAACGACGTTGTATATCAGAAACACAATTTGGTTTTGCATGTTAAAGTCCACAAACAGCTTTTGGGGAAGAGGAATCGATTAATGCAATATCACTTGACTCATCTCAAGAGCGTTCATTTTACAAGTATATTGTAATCAAGGAAAACTAACGAAAGAAGGAGATTCTTAAACTTAAAAAAATCCTTTATGAAAACAAAATTTGCCTAAATTAGAGGAGCACTTTTCGATTTATACGCATTTATGCTGCCCATTTCTTTTTCGCTAGCGCTATGCCTCATAAAAACTAGTCTTGGAACCAACGTTAGAGTTTATGAAGGGGGTCAAATCAGACAAGCATCAAGGATTGCGATGGTTTTGGTCAATAACACATTTTAATAAAAATATGTGTACTGAAGTTAATGTTTTTAAATGGAGTTCCAAAAATAGTTTCCTATCTCAGAAAATGTCGTTAAAAAGTGTTGCATAACTAAAATTTCACCATGAAAATTGTACGATTGAAATCACCTCGTTATAATAAAATGAAATAGTAAAGACGTAGTTTCATAGCAGTTACATAAAGATTGATTTATATTAAATCAAAACAGCCTGAATTTGGAGTGTCTATAAAGGGAAAATTCAAACGCATGTTTTTACACCTATACTTTCTTACATAATACATATCTTTTAAAAGGTTTCATTTGAAAACTTACAAAAGAAATTGTTTTTGGTAGTCTTTCCATATGCTCCTACTAAAATTTATTCAATGACACTTCGGAAATTTCATTCATCTTTAGAACCGAGTTTGTTTATTTTTACTAGTTCGACTCTTAAAACTATTTTGTTACTAAAATTTGTTCTTCAATTAGGGTTAAAAAATGAGTGAATTTGCTGAAATTCAAATGATTGAATTTGCTGTAATCTGAAAAGTGTAAGTTATTTAACAGAAAAATGGTCGATAAAGTCAATCAAGATTTCCTTAGCATAAATTCTGAATTAGCTTTGAAACAAACTGTGAACCTAATTTTGAAATTCATAGTCACAACTGATAACACTATAGGTATTTAATTTAGAGCGAAGAACAAAATTAATAAATTAAAATAAATAAAAGTCAATATAAAAGAATAAGAAAATTCAGTTTTACTAAAGATTATGCTGAAATGAGAAATTTTAATTTAAATAGTGGCACACATTTTATTATATTATTTACATAAGTAAACTACGGAAAGGATATAAAAGACATTTAAACAGTTAAAAACAGAATTCTAAAAACGTAAACTAGAAAAGAAAGAGTAAAAAATACAAATATTTAAATAATTTAGGGCGGCATGACAGCGAGAAAATACAAACATTTCGTATGGAATAGTAAAATACGTAAAATTATCAATATTTTGGGAATGATTGATTAAATTAACAAATTTTATTTATTTACAAGTGCCTGGCTTTTGGAATTCAACTCCATTAGCCTTTCTCGGTAAGAGAAGCCACCTGGGTAAAAACTGCGAAAATAGGGGGCCCAGAGACACAGAGAGAACACAATGAAGAATTCTTGAACAGTACGTTAATCAGATGATAGTTAGGGTAATTACTACTTTAAAAGATAGACTGATGTCAAGCTGTAATCTGGGGAGAATCTAGACAGTATATTATTGATAGAAGATAAATTCGTACATTTCGTGTAAATTTTATCCAAAAAGCTTGTTAAATTCCTTGGTTATTAGTTTCGTAACAGAATGAAAGGTCATTAAATTTCTGGGCTTCTGGAGTACAGTAGTTCTTTTCTTTGTCTGGAAATCTTCAATCTCCTTTTCTCACACTCCACGATGAGCCGTACTCATTATAATCTCATAGAATTAGCAAAGGCATTCAGAAGATTTCAGCACTCACACATTTGTGAGTTTTCATATTTTTGTTTCGAATCGCAAGTTCTGTTGGTGACAAGTATCTAAAAGTCAAATCTAGTCCGAGAAGTTGACAGTTTTAGAGATGGAGTATTTCCTACAGTTAAACAGATGTAAGACCCCCTTGACTTTCACCATCAAAATTAGTGGCGTTATCACATACTACTTTGTAAGAAGAAAACTGTTGAATACATTACAGTACCAATGCCCTTGTTCTGCACTGAACTATCAGTGTAATTGTAAATCCATTGATCTTCGAGAAAATGGCTTTGAATATTTTCCTGGGCAATTGCCCGCTTTGACCTTCTTAACTATTAAAAAAACTATTATCAAGATTTATTTGAATGTAGTTGGAACTAGCAACTTCTTCTTGCGGCTGACGTACAACAAAAACATTTTTGTCAGTAAATCAAAATAAGCCCTAACCCGAGACAGTTCTGCATCCGCAACGCGGATAAGCATTTCTGTTGCTCATATAGTATAGTCTAATTTCTCATCAGGTGTCTTGGTTTTATTTTAAATCATTTTCCAATTTACTGCTTCATCTAATTGCGTTGTGGGTTCTTCTTCAGTTTCTGAATACACAGGCTTTTATTTTCGGCTGTTTTGATTTTACTTCCATCGTTTGGAAACTACGGAAAATCGTCTTTAGAAAACCTTGAAAATGTTTTTTTAGTTCCAGAATACAAAGCGTATATTTTCAGATTTGGGCAAAATTTTTTATAAACCGGGCAATTTTAATGAGAACTTACATGATCGCCTTGACAAAAAACGCAGACAGGCATTTTTTTTAAAGTTTACAAGTAGAATTTCTGCGAGTTTTCGCGCACTTTTCTTTGTTACTGCAAAAGTGCTGAATATGCCCAAAAGGCTGGCATGTACAGCAGTGTCGGGAGTTTCCTTGGAGAGAAGTTTTTTATTCTGACTTTAAAGGGGAAAAGTTGTTAATATGGAATGTTTTTAATCTTCGTTTGTCTTATTTAATTCAATGAAGAAAATCGGCTGTGGTTCTTGTATTTCATTTTTCGTGCAGGCAATCTGCGTCACTCTCAATACAGGAAAATTTCTTCGGATGAAATCATTTTTGATTTCTTCTTTAGAAACTGAGATTGGAAGTCTCTTAATTACAGTTTTAACTGCCTTCCCCTTTTTTAGTTTATAGGTGTAAAAACGTTAAACGTTCTGTTATCAGTATTGTTCCCAGAGTATACGAAGAGGGCTGCTTTCTTCGTATTAACTTCAAATTCTTCTGATTTATCTTTACTCAGCAATTTTCCTTGTTTATAACAATCTGTGAGATTTTTTTTCTTAGTCTTTCCTTAATCATAAGTATTTAATTTATTGAAACGGTTTCTTTGGCTTATTGGCTCATCGTTTTCAGGAGTTTCTGCGAGTTTCCGCGAGGAAAAGCATTCGATTCCTTGGAGTCGTCATTGTTACGTGTATTGTTCTGTCAAATGATTTGAATTTTGATGTTTTAGGGGATTATATTCTACAAGAAAACACTGAAACGGTCAAGTAAAGCTAAATTATCTAAACCTTTGATTAGCTGATTCGCTTGGATCCATTCTGTAGAATAAACACAATAAAAATAGTGGTATGTTTAGTAATGCATGTATTAGAAAAATAATTGCTAAACGTTTTGAATCACTTCATAAATTCACACAAAAACTACAGAAAATGCCAAAAGAATCATAAAAATCAATAATTTTCAAAATTCTCTGTACATACCATAGAAGGTAAAGTACACAACTACAGCAGCAAAGAAACCGCCAAGATGTTGGCCCAGAACGTAATGTGGTACTTTCCTCCACGGAAATTTACCCACAGTAGCAAATGCAACCGTTACTCCGGGATGAATATGGCCTCCTAAAAAGAAATTGTTCGAAACTTAATTTAATTTTGCTTTCAGTGAATTTGTCAAATGAAACAGAAGCATTAATTCTAGTTTTTAAATTAAATTAAACAGAGGTTTCCTGCTATGCATTTTCTTCAAAAGATGTTCCCGCGGTCATTTAAGATGGTTCGAGTATTGGCCTAGGCACAGTGCCTATTTGTGGACCCTAACGGTACTTTTTTTTTTCTTTTCTTTTTTTTTTTTTTTTTTTTCTTTTTTCTTTTCTTTTCTTTTTTTTATATAAAGAACGCTTAATGAGGAATTAAGAGATGCTATGCGCTGCTAGTTCTGAGGCCAGATCTCGCAGGCTAAACAGTGATCTTGCCTGCAAGACCTGAATTTGGGCTTCAGTTCCAGGTCTGGTTATTTCCCGAGTCCCAGCATCAATGAAAATGTCGCATTTTACAGTTGGTAAATACATAACTGCGCTTATTTTTGTTTTTCCTTACAAGCGTTTCTTCATTGTTCAATTAAAGAACATCGAAAATCGAATATCGTTGAAATGAATAACAGTGCACTTAGCGAAAGGTAAACAAAATACACGAAATGATACATTTTTAGACGGTGATATAGACGTTGCATGGAAACGTGGATACAAGATATATTTTTCTGGAATGAAAGATTGTTGTTAGCCTCGCATAGATAATTTTTATTTTATAAAGTATATTTTGTTGAATAATAACACGATAAGGGAATATGCGCACAGATTTCGAATATTCAAAGTGTTGTATATGGCAATAATAAGCGGAGCGTCAATATGGCGTCAAAAACACAGATGCAAGCAAGAGAAGAGATGCGTAGAATACAATATGAATGCTCGTGAAGTTATGGCTCCACTTTATTTCTATTGGTTAATTAAGATTTTGGTTCTCACATAATATCACTTTTAGCTGAAAGACGTTTTGCGTTATGTAAGTACATACGACATAAACATTGTCTAAGAATAATATGACGAGGATTATTTTTTAAATGACGTAGTTCTGTGAGATTTATTAGATGCACGCTACTACCTTTACGCTAGGAAAGAAAAATAGTCTAATTAAAAAGGGAAACTAAGAAATCATTACGTATTAAAGTTAGAAGTTTTTCTTAAATTAAACTGTCTTTAAATATCTGCACAATCTCTTAGAATTTATAAAAGCTTATCTTGAATAGGCATATCAGTGACTAATGAGGTTATCACATCTAATGACACGTGAAGTTAGGAGAAACTTTTCAAAGAAATTAGCTTCTTCTTCTCCTACCAATAGAGGGTTTCCATCCGACACATGTTTTACTGGAACTGATGTCTCGGGTAACTATGCAAGACATTTTACAATTGGGATGAAAATATTTCAGTTAAAGTTGTGTCTCACGTAGCATTTTCCCAAAGAACTGATTTTCGCGTAAGTCAACCAAACAGATATTCCGAAAACTAATATTCTCAGAAATGTTTCTTTCGACAAGTTGTTGAAAGTAAGTAGTAGGTGTGATATCAGTTTAAGATGGACCACGAAGAATTAAGAGGGGCATCGGCTTAAGACAACGAAAGACTGGTAGTTCATTCCTAACTGCTTCATCATAATTAAGATACAATAACACGCCGAGCAAAATTAAAAGTCAAACAACAAAAGTCAGCGTCCAGTCTCTCTTATCTTATCTCGTTCATTTGCGCTTTTGCAGCTGAGGTTTGGTAAAACCGTCGAAAATAGTCCTGTGAAAATTAAAAAATAAGCTGATTTTTGTTGTTTGACTTCTAAGTTAATGCGCCGTCATGGTTAAGTAAGCTGAATTCGTAATGTTCCAATGTTTGCACTTGTAAATGAAAGTCAGTGTTCTTAAGAAAGCTCACAACGAACCTGTTTTATCTATTGCAAGTGAATGTTTAATCCGATACCGTAGTAATCTGTTCTAACTAATATTTAAGTAAGAAATGTGAAGAAAACGATCGAAATAGAGAATTTTGGAAATATGATTTCAAGTTTTAAATGACAAGGATCAAAGCACTGAATTCTCAAAGAGTAGGGAACCTCTTATTTGGAAATAAGTTGTTTGAAGAATGCAAAAGTATTTTTTCGTTTCGATGGTACAACTGTTTTCCCAATGTTATAAATACATTTCAGTTACTGATTTCTTACGCTTACTTTCATCAAAAATGCCAAGCATGCCTTTGCAGGAAATGTTGAAGCAGTTTATTTATTTTGTGCTCGAGATGAAGCATTTTTCACGCAATTTAAAGAAAAATATTCGGAAGCTGATATTTTAGAAGAAAACTAGAAAGCTCGGAAATCTCACATGATACTGCATATTTGGAGAAAGTAAACGTTTCAGGCAGAACGACAAAATATTATTTATGCAGAGCTTTATACGTGCTTTATCTAAAAGATGCTTGCTACCCCATTTTGTGTGACATCTTTAAAATTTCAAATTAGGTATGAAGAGGGGAAAATTTATTGTCAAACAACAATCCAGCGTCAATCAAGTATATTTGCGTTTTGCCAGAAATGAAAGCAAGTACTATGGTATAAGAAAATTATTTTTACCTGCGTTATAGATTCGATAGTGTTCCTTACAAATCACAGATGTGATTAATATTAGTTAATGCCACTGGGACAAACCACAAAAGATTTTTTTCACTTGTTATAAACATAATTTTATAAGGTATTTTCTCCTTTCTTACAGCGTGACTTTGTAATGTACTGGATGGAACGTCCGGCTAGCAATCGAAAATTCCAATGTTCAAATTCAGGCCACAGCACTTCATATTTTTCGCTTCTCTGGATTAAAAAAGAACAAAAAACAAATTCCCCCAAAAAGAAGTCTTATGACTGTACAAGTGGCACCTGATTTGGCAACTGGATTTATTTATCCCCACTGGCGACACTGGCGACTGGTAATTGGATCTCTTCCTTCCCAGTCATATAGGGAGAGTATATAAGGTATTTTGTTCCTTTTTACCACGTGCCTTCGGTTTCTAACCTGGATAACTAAATAGTACCGCTCGGCTAGCAACTGGGAGGTCCAGTATATGAATCTCGGCGAGGACACTGCTCATTTTTCATGTATTCTCCTTTTTATTAAACTAACGAGTCTACAGATTTACAAAAACATTGTGTAATGCAGTAACTTTTCGATTAACCGAAAGTATATTAATCGGCTTTCCAATTAACTGGCCCTTATTATAAATTAATTTCACATACTGCTTAATGCTAAAAAATTGCTCTCATAAGCCTTCAAGGTAAAACAAACCTTTTGACAGAAAGTATTTTGCAGAGATGTAATGGATACACGTATGAAGAGAATTTAGAACATTATGTCTGGAAAAGCTCATACGTATAATAGGTTTCTACTACAAGATAATGTGTTATCAAGCAATTCGATTCGAGCACTTTTTAACAAAGAAAAGTCTCCTAATTTTCAAGATATCGCGTATTCTCCAGATTGGGCATTTTTGGACTACTTCATCACACCTGTGTAAAATCTCATATCTGTTCGAGAGATTCCATAAAATAAATAATATTATAATAAAAATAAACAATATTCTCTAGACCTAAACAGCATTCTAAATGTTCTACAAAGGTATCAAGCTGCTATATAAACATGGCCACCATTGCATAGACTTACAAGATTTGTATGTTGAAGGCTAGGGAAAAGGAATGTTGCTTTCTTTATCTTTCGATTTCGAACGAACTTGGTCTCAAACCATAGTAGACGCATTTTATATGTATGACAAAGAAATGAGTAATTAAACAAAATACAGTGAAGAGTGAATATTTGGAACACATTTATATTAAAAATATGTCAATAATTGAAAAGTTATTCGTTCACAATCAATATCCTACACTTGCATACCCAGAGTGTACCCAAGTGATTGATAATTAATGGAGAACGAGGGATTTACACTATATCCACAAAAGTCCTTACTCGGCTTTTATTTTCCAAACCATTGGTACTAGACATATACTTCCAGATATAAAAATATTTTAAACGATGCAAAAACACTTGTTTTAGGATTTTTTACATTTAAAGAAGTCAGTTCTGAAAAATTACAAAATCTAGCTTTTTATAATCCCTATACTTACGAAAATTTTGTACTTATTATAAAAAATAAAACACAAGTAGTTTGTCTTCTGTGCGACAAAAACTGACCGTGAAATTTGGGGTGCTACTTTGGTAGATGGTTGCACGGATTTTGGCGATTTGTTTTGGCGAGCAATACGACTTATGGTAAACCCATTGCTAGACATGTTATTTATGGTAGCCTATAATTTATTGTCATTTTATTTAAAAAATACTGCGTTTTATTATACATAATTTCCGCGTTTTAAATATTATTTATGGCTTCTAAATATTAAAAATAAATATAATTTTGCATTTTTATTTGAAATAAAAATTTCATTGTTTATGATATTTTATGAAATTTTATGTTGTGGATGATGTAATGAATGACATCACATTACTTTAAAAGTAATTGATTTTAATATCTATAAATTTATCTAATGTTTTAAACACTATTTATGACTGTTAAATATTAAAATACAATTAGTTTTGCATTTTTTTAAAAATGACTTTATTATGTATGATTATGTAAATAATTTTAATTCTATTCGTGATGTAATCAGCTCTCTGATTGCTTACTGAATTTTTGTGCATTACCGCGCCATTTTAAAATTTTATTATTCATCTCTTCGAATTCCTTAGATCACATTTAAAAATTTTTTTCATTGATATCTAAATTATGATTCCGATTTTTTTGCAGTACTTATCAATATACAATAGGTTAAATAGTAAAAAAAAAATGTAAGCACATATTTTGTTTTACTTTATAATTGTATACTTCAATTTATATTTAAAAAAAATAATACACTCTTTTCAAAAATTGCCGAGATATTTATTGCCACATATGTTCTAATGTTAAATAATTATATGTTAAAAAACGTTTTCTAAAAGATTTGAATTTAAGTAATATTTTAATTCTTTTAAACGTTGGTAT